GTCACCATCATCTTCCAAGAGCCGGGGGCGCTGCCGTTCACGCCGCAGAAAATCCGCTCCCACTTCCAGCACGTCTTCATCATCGTCCGCGCCCACCAGCCCTGCTCCGACGGCGTCTCCTACAGGTGGGGACCACAGCCAGGCCGGGGGGGACGGCAGGGAGCGGCAAAAAACGGGGGGAAGTCATGAGGAATGGGGAAAAATTGGGAAAAGTTGGGGAAGAGTTGGGGAAAAGTTGGGGAAATGAGAAATTGGTGGGAAGTTGTCAACGCCAACTTGACCAACCCCAACTTGACTGACCCCAACTTGACCGACCCCAACTTGACCTTGGCCAACTTGACCTTGACCAACTTGACTGACCCCAACTTGACCAACGCCAAGTTGACCAACCCCAACTTGACCTTGACCAGCTTGACCAATGCCAACTTGACCGACCCCAACTTGACCTTGACCAACTTGACTTTGACCAACTTGACCTTGATCGACCCCAACTTGACCGACGCCAACTTGATCAACCTCAACTTGACCGACCCCAACTTGACCTTGACCAACTTGACCTTGACCAACTTGACCGACCCCAACTTGACCGACCCCAACTTGACCAACCCTAACTTGACTAACTTGACCAATGCCAGCTTGACCAACCCCAACTTGACCTTGACCAACTTGACCGACCCCAACTTGACCGACCCCAACTTGACCTTGACCAACTTGACTTTGACCAACTTGACCTTGACCGACGCCAACTTGACTGACCCCAGCTTGACCTGGACCAACTTGACCAACCCCAACTTGACCAATGCCAACTTGACCTTGACCAACCACCAACACCCCATCTTAAAAATCCTTCCCAAAATTCCCTTTTATCCCCCCCCCCCCCCCCCCAAAAAAAATCACCGAACCGAAGCGTGGCCGTCACCCGCTCCAAGGACGTCCCACCCTTCGGCCCCCCGGTTCCTCCCTCCGGCGTCACCTTCCGCCGCTCCGACCTCTTCCGCGCCTTCCTCTTGGCCAAGGCCATCAACGCCGAGAACGCCGCCCACAAATCCCACAAATTCCGCGCCATGGCCACGCGCACCCGCCACGAATACCTGCGGGATCTTGCCGAGAACTACGTCACCAACACTCCCTTGGACACGGCGGGCAAGTTCAACCTCATCTCCTTGACCTCCAAAAAAAAGGAGAAAACCAAAGCGCGGCCCCTGGCGGAGCTGGAGAGCGCCGGCGCCGTCTCCTGGCGCGTCTCGGCGTTGGATTTCGGCCGGGGCGGCGCCGAAATCCCGTGCGCGTTGGGGATCTCCAAGGAGCTCTTGGTTTTGGTGGATCTGGCGGCCAAGGAAGTCGTTTTCAATTGTTTCGCCGGCGACGTGATCGGCTGGAGCGCCGAGGGAGCGGCGCTGAGGATTTACCACGGCCGAGGGGATCTGGTGAGCGTCAGGGCCGGCGCCGGCGCCGAAGGGGCCGAGGGAGCGGCCGAGGAGGTGAAGGAGA